TAAATAGATAATTCTTCTTTAAGTTCTAAGGAAATTTCTTTATTGAGTAAAACTTTATTTCCTTTTTTATGTAATTCGTTATATAAAAGATTTGCTAGTTGAGTTTTTCCTGCTCCAATAACACCAGTTAAGATGATTATTTTTGTATCATTAGTATTTTTTTTTACTAATAATTGATTCAAAAATTTTATAAAATCCATGATTAATATGTTCATTTGATAAGTAAACATCATCTATTTATATAAATAATATTATTAATTTTTTTATTTAATAATCATATTTCTGTAAATAAATTTTATAATATAATTAATAATTATTAAAATAATTAAAATAAATATCAATTAAAGATAATTCGAAAACAATAAAAAAAATAAATAATTATAAATTAACTAAAAATGAATTAATATATTTCTTAATATCATTAACACTATCTTCTATAGTACTATCATTATTAATAACTATTGTATCATCACAAATATTACTTTTAAACTTTTCTTTATATAATTTAAGAATTTCTTTACTTTCACTAAGAGTATATTTTCGATCTTTCTTTTTTCTTTTATAATAATTCCTTTCAAAATTTTTATCGGAACATAATATTACAAAAACTAACATAGATTTTTTGAATTCAATATGTTCTTTTTCTATAATATCTAATTCAAATCCATATTTCTCTTTATAAATATCACCATCAAAAACTTCACGATCGACTATTACAAAATCTTCTCTTGAATTTTCGATTTCAATTCTACGTTTATGATAAGTGTTTAATAATGCATATTCGAATTTTTGAATATCTTCTTCTTTATAATTCAATAAATATTCATTTCCTTTCAATATAGATTCAATACAAATTTTAACAGAAAATCCATCTTGTTCAATTTTTTTTTGTAAAACTTTAATTATACTCGTTTTCTCCACACTTGTAGGTCCAGACAAAACTATATATCTTGGTCGAATATTTTTTAATATTTCATTCTTATAAATATCCATAGTTGGTATTAGAGGATAATTATAAAATTCATTTGTCCAAAACCAATCTTTATGCTTTTCAGGTTCTTTATTAATAACATTAACAAAATTATCAACTAATGTTTTATAAATATAAACTTGATATTTTGTTGTTTTATTAATCATTATTAATTCTATTTTGTTCATTACTAATATTCCAGTTTCTTCGAACAACTCTCTTTCAGCAGCTTTCTCAAATTCTTCATTATCTTCAACTTTACCACCTGGCGGACAATATAAATTATTATATATCTTAACCAATCGTTTTGCAATCAATATATCACCATTTCGTTTATATGGAATAGTAATAACATATGATTTATATCTTTGATTTAAATTGATTAATCTATAAAAATTAATCAAAAACAAAATAAGACATGCTAAATAAAAAACAAATGTATATAATGAATTTAACATAATTGCTATCTTTTAAAACTAAAATAAATCATGATATTTATACTAATTAGTATTATTAATCATATGTTTCTATAAATATAACTTTTACCTAAAATTTAAATTAAAAATGATTAACTTACCATTTGAAACAATTTTTAATATTTTTCTATACGGAATAAATTCTTCTTCTGATAATAATAAACTAAAATATCTATTAATCAATAGACATTTTTTTAAATTATTAGTTAAACCAATATGGAATAACCTAATATTAAATCATAGTGATAAAAATATATTTGAAATAATTATTAATTTAACTCTTGAAAAAAATGAAATTGAATATTTCAAAAACTTTACTTATAAAAAACTGTTAGTTAATTATTTAGAATATATTACATCTATCAATCATAATATACTTTTTGCTTTATTAATTCATAATATTAAAATTGATAAATTATTTATGATAATACCAATATCTGAAAAAATAAGAAAAACATTAATGGATAAAAAAATTAACTATAATAATTATAAAAAAATTACTAAGAAGAACATTATTAATACAATCAAAAAAACAATTAATTAATAATCAAAATTTCCTATTTTGGAAAAATATTTTTACATTAATATCTATAAATAACACAATCAAATTAATACTTTTTTTCCAAGATCCAAAAAATGGAAAATGCATATTTGAAAAACGAATTAATTTTATTAACTAATTTCAAAAATTCAACATATTCATATTCAAGAAAAAAAAATGAATTTATTTTCGACTTTAATTATGAAAATAAATTGATTGATAACAATAATATTTTAATTATAAAATTAAAATCGAAAACTATTAATAATAATAATCTTAGAAGTGATATTAAAAATCATTTCACTATATTTAGTGAAGAAATTTCTGATCCTATATTATACCAACAAAAAGCTGTTGATTTGATTAGTAATAAATTATCTGAACTCTTTATTAATGGTTTTTATACACAACATGAATACAAATCATTATTTAATAATTCGAGATGTATAAAATTTATTATATCACATGAAGAGAATATTAAAATTACTGATTTTATTAAACAACAAAAAAATATTATATTTGAAAGACATCCACATACTAAAATCAAAATTCAAAAATCAAAAACAATTAAAATAACAGAAGAAGAAAAAAATTTAAGTAATATTATTAATTCATTGACTAATTTAAAAATCGATGATCCAAGAAAACAAGAATTTGAAAATTATAAAACTATTGCTAGTATTCAAACACCTTTTGAAATGATTAATAATATTATTAGTGATTCTAATATTGATAGTAAAGATCGTGAAATTATTATTAATGGTTTAAAAGAAACGGTTAAGAATATAGGTTTAAGTTTAGAAATAGATTTTGATAAACCATTATCAGGTGATAAAACACCAACAAAAAACACATCAGAAGATTATCAAAAAAATAATAATAATTCAGATATTAGTATTAAAACTGAACAAATGATAGAAGAATTTTAATTTTTTCTTTATTAATTATTAATTAATTATTTATTTATTTATTTATAACAATAAAATTATATTTATTAAAATAAAATATTAAATTACATAAAAATATCTATAAAATTTTATATTTATCAATAAACTGTTCTTGTTCTAATGTACTAAATCCTATATCATACAAATATTGATTAATTGAATTATATTTTTTTCTAAATAATTTTAATAAATCATGCATGTATTCTTTTGATGAATAAATAAAATCTTCACATAA